GATATATTTGAAGTGCGACTTCAACACAGAACACATCAATATAGCAGACGCTATAGTTCGTCGTGAACTATAACGTCCGCTCGAAGATGCGCCATGCACCCAGCTTCTGTGCATAGCCGTGTAGATCTATTGTGGGTGGCCACTTCACACCAGGTAGCGCGATTTGGAGTCAGCTCCAGTAACTACCTCAAACCAATATGTCCTAACTAGATTATGCCTGGAAAACTAACGTGGAGCGCGGACTAGCAAAACTTCCGCTATTCCAATTGTATTGGTAACCCACATAAGAACCCTTTTAGGCAAGTTCCCCAAAAACTAATCTTGAACACAAAAGTACCGAAGCTGACTAAGTAGTGGCTTGGCAGCCGGTCATGGTTCTATCACCATTACCTTTGGTTGTCCGAAATATTCGATTTACTGATGAGAGCTGATAACTTGCAGATCGTCAGATACGATGCGCATGAGAATTTTGGGTCTGGTAAGACCGATTAAGGTATAATGGTGCTTAATAAAAGATTGTTTTAATTTGGCACTCTTAAGAAGTTCCGTGCATTCTATCCAATCGATACGATTTTCAAAGTCCGTAGGACCAATTTGTACACAGCCATCCCTGGACCTCCTTTCGCCATGATTTCTTACTTGTGAGCTCTGATGGTACTCTCGGAACTCCTTCTCTTTAACTTGTGATGTTTATTGTTTGACTGTGGCGGTGTCTCTTAAGGGTACACTCCCTAGGATGCCATAAGTTACGTAAACATAACTAACCTATCGTAACTTATTCCTTGGGAGCCACGCCCCTTCTGTTGACACTGATCTTTTCGCACCATCATCTGTACAACGCTCGACGCTTCTTTCCCTTCGATATTTACCGCCCTCCCTCACACACATATGTTCCGTCGTCGACGGGGGTGGTCCTTAGTGATCCTTGTATTTTCGTCCTTTTGTTAAGGCGTTTGCCGTCAATGTTTGCTTTTCGAATACGTCGCTATTCAGGCCATACCGTGTCATGTCGTTCTCATCGTTGTCGTCGTCACACCTACATAGCTGTAGCTGAATATTTCCTGATAATTTCAGGCCACATTTCGTCACACTTCATGACGCCATGGCCTGTGAGTGCCTTCCACCACCACCCGTCTTTCAGCTACCTCCACCGCCGGATTTATCACTCGTCTGGCATCTTATCAGTGACGAACCGTACGAGGCAGTAAGTTCTTCTTGACCAGGCGATCCCTTCAGACTTTTCAAAAATCGTGCAAAAATACCTATGCTAATTACAGGTTACGTCTCTGCTTCTCTATTTCTTGCTTATTTTAAGGTTATTTACTGATTATTTCATTTTTATTACGAGAAAATTGGATTTTGCTTTTTTCCTCCGCTCGAAACTACAGCTTTCATAGCGAAGTTTCAATAGCGGCGGTCATTTTTCTCTGTCGGTGACAGCCTTTCAAACAATTTCCACACGCACAACGCCCAGTGCAGCCTTCGACAGCACTGGGCGCTCCCCAGGGTCTAACAAAATGAATTCGCGCGCAATCGCTTTGATAATACATCATAGTATGCAAATTCTGCAGGGGGTCTGAAGCTTGGGGATGGACCAACTGACTCGTTGGCTGATGATGAATTCTCGAATTAGTAGAGAGCAGATGTTTCGAATAAGCTCTAGCAAGAAGCGGGATCACTTTGAACTTTGCCTTGTCCCGCTGAAATGAAGCACGACCATCCTAAATGTCGGCTGCTCTGGGGTGAACATAAACAATTGATATTTATATAAGGTCCCACTGTATTTTCGTTAAATAATTGGCGTTAAGCCTTATTTACTAATCTGGGCCCTCACATGCGGTCTCCGATGCCTGTAGGTCTTTTTAAAGGTGTTCGAACCCAGAATTGCATGCCTGGTAGTAAAGCCTCCCCCGGTCCTGTAGCGATATCCAATTTCTGCAGAAAATTTGAAAGATTTACGACTGGGCGAGGTTTTGTCTTAGCTGTTATGTGGGAGGGTGAGGATCAAAAGGAAGGATAAGTAAAACTACCTGAAAATACTGACCGACATGGTTGGCGTAGTCTCTATAGTGCTTGAGTATTTCCTGTACTTGGTATCATCCTTAGTGACCTTTACAGTCAGCAGTTTCGGGTGATGGCTCTTTAAAGAGTAGCAACTGACCTGGAAAGGCCAGAAAGAAATAATGGCCCACCCCATCCCTACGGGATAGTCTGAATACGCAGAAAATAAGGATTATCCCGTACCGATAGTCAATCAATCAGGATCGGTCAGAATTTACATAGCACCGACTAATCCACCCATCTTAACGACACTAATACCGTACAAGTACCGTACAGTAAACGTCAATCATGCAATGAGCTCCTTCATTCACTCAAGAGGCCTAAATCCTTGGAGCCTAATTGACATTGGTCTAGAGATCGCCCATTCATCCGAGAATAGAGTTGTGAATCGAATCCTTGAAGTTGGAAGCTGAATTCGGCATTTCGCGCTTTGCTGGTGGTGCTAATTGGTTTCCGGTGGAAAGGGTTGATGGTGGGACGAGTGGGAAAGGGTCAGCGACCAATTCGGGCAATCATTGGGAGAAGCAGAAAGGGAGCAGAACAATTCATAGAAGTCTTATCAGTTCTCCTGATGACGAAGAGCTTTCAGAAGAAGCTGAAGGAGCTGAGTGACCGGCTTGAGAAGTTAGGGAATTAAATGGAATTCTTCCGAGTGATTAGGTAAATGGGTGATTCTGAGACATGGTCCTTCCCCAAAGACTTTTCAAGCCTGATTTCGAATAACTTCCTCAAAAATTGGAATATTAATTATACCTATTTTTAAAATACTTTCCCCTGTCGAGGTAATTTTTCATTCCTTGGTTACCAGTGACATCCGATAACAAATTTCCTTTCAGCCATCCGATTGTGAATGGAGCCCATTCATCTCGATTTCGGATGTCTCGTCGAAAATCCCATTGGCACCGTTGTCGAGCCGATCCCTCATAGTTATCTCACTGATCGCTTTGCTCATCCTTCTCTCGCTCATCGCTCTTGTGATATGCCGAATAAGGCGGTAAGTATTCATAAGTTCTGAATTTCTGCTTGAATTCTATAAAAACACCCTTCACACCGTTTCTTTACATTTATTTGGTTTTATTTACTGCTCGATTTTGGAAAGTCCTGAGAGATGATGCTCTAGGAAGTTGCAAGTGAGCTCCATAGGATTTGGGAAAGGGAAAATCACTGTCCTGGGCTATAAGCTCGCAGAAATAAAGTTGAGTATAAAAAAATGAAACTCGGGGAGGACCCTAGATTCCCAGATATTCGACCGGCCTGTGGTTGCATCGCATGATGGCCTAAAGGAGCAGGGTACTACCAGAATGTAATAAATGGGTGGTGGTGAAAACCTTCATGGCTTGGTGAAGTGTCCAGCTCATTACCGTCCAAGTTTGCTACCCCTCTCGGGTTACTCAGTTTGCCAGTCATATGGCAGGGGAACAGAAGCGAGCTTGGATAAAGCTTGCAAATTTCTGATTGATGGGTTCGATTTGTTTATTTGGAAAGGAGGGAGCCATGTTTGGGAATAGGGTAAAGAGGCAGTATGGGATGATGTTATGATGTCTTCGAGAGATTCTGACTTTCCCAGTCATTCCATGCCTTTCTGAAATTGGGTACATAGAGTGTCGTATCTGTAGGGTATTTTGAAAGGTTGGAATGACTAAACCACTTCCCACGACATCGTGCCTGGCCCTGGTGTGATCAATCCTTCGCAACGCACACCACACGTACAACACTGCCGCGCGGCAGCAAAATGCCGACATGCCAGTGTTTTTAGACGATAGAAAAAGGGCTTTTCATGGGCAAAAATATGAGCACATCATGATGTGTGTATGTGCGTCCTTGACGTTTCACCATACAGTCTGAAGTACTATAATTACTGTCATACGGTATCGACGACATATTGCGACTGTAAAAAACCAACACTGACGGCTTTTTTTCTTCGACTGATGGGCTGAAAGTCAATTGCAATTGACCTCGACAGGCTTCGAGATAGCTAATATCCCGTCATTTTTCAATTTTAAGGGCTAGTTGGAATAGTAGTTTGTAATTTGAATGGTAAATTTCAGAAAAAAACGGAAGAAAATAATTTTTTCTTTATTAATATTAACGGAAAAATACCAAAAAGGAATGCCATGACCAGGAAGCTTTTTTGAATGAACAAAATTTTTCTGAATTTTTTCGCTCCAGGATTTCTCACAATTTTTAAAAATTGTTTTGAAGAGATAACGCTATGTACCATTATTTTTCTTCATTATTATAATTATCCCCGATTTGTTAGTTTTAACCAGCTTTTTCAAAAATTATTTACACAAGTAAGTGAGTTGTCTAAAGGGATTATAAAATGGAATAGCTCCTTATGGCACTTATCAGGGGGAACCAAAGAGTCGGCTAGTCCCCTTCGAGACGCCATGTATTCGATGTTCTTGGAAAAATCGGAAGGAATTTGAGGGACATTTTCCCCTCACAAAAACTTCCACAACATACTTACTGTACCAGGAGAGCTAATGGTCAGTTCACTGACTTGGTGGAGAGTGGGGCTTAGTTGGCTTCAGCAAGTTCATGCTGCGAATCTTAATCACTGACGATAACCTGCACTATTTCCATCAGCCCTATTTCCCTCAGATAATTTTTAGTCATCACAAACTGTTGGTTTGCAGTGATAGGTGTAGTAACATGCTTGTCGCCCACATCGCTCTAGACAAAGGATTTGAACAAGGGAAGATTCACTTGTCATCCCATTGGGACTAGTACAGCGCTTTAAGATCAAAGTGGTTGAATGATTATTCCTCACCGGATTACTTACTAGATAAGGCATAATGCCGACGCCTCCAAAGCCTCGTTCCCATCTTTCAGAGCGGCTCTATAACTTGTCGATTATTCACTAACGGACTGGAGAAGCTTATTAATTGCCATTGGCGTGACCCCGGATGTGGGTCGAACTTGACAACTCCATTCATCATCCCGTTGAGCACATTGATCATAAGGAATCGTCAGCGCAGCTGAGGTCAATCAGTGATGGGTTCTCAGCCAGCGAAAGGGTACGGGATTTCATCTGAGTATTACACTGGAGGTACTGATTCTCATAGCCTATTCTTTTTATGATAGGAACTTACCGACATAGGTAAGGGAACCAGGGCTCCGCTATTTGAAAAGGGCACTTTGAGGTCATCCGAAAGACACATCCCTTCACTCCTTTCATTCAAGTGTTAGTTGAGTGAGTTGAAAAGCTTTGTCATGCATGACCATCATCCAAAGATGGGACGGAAGAGCCGATCGCGTGACGTCGGCCCGAGCTTCAAGAGGATGTCATCGTTGTTGAGCCAGTCAGACGGCTACATAAGAACTCTTATGGAAATGGCACTTGTCATAATGTTATGAACGCTTTTTGTCGGCTTTGAAATTGGGGATGTCCAGAGCTGAACAAATTAATTCTAGGAAGTCAGGAAATGGGTCATATTTCGAGCTTCAGGCTGTTGGACTTGGAATTCAGCCTTTATTAGGAGTAGAATGGACCACTCCGAGACTACAAGTCCGCTATTTCCACCTTCCTACCAGTTTCTGAAGTCATCAGAAAGAGGGATTCCGAGAAGTCTACATATATATTCGGGTGGGTTGGGATTCGGATGGTGGTAGGTACCACAATCCCCTTCTTTCATGACGGGACCTGAACAACCTCGGCGTTTTTTATCCAACTCTTTCCCATACTTTGACCTCTGAAGCCATGCGTGACTGATTGCGACAACTTTTTCGAACATCTGCTTCCTGCCGAGTTCCTAGCCGACACAATTCACTTTGCCCGAGTACAATGCCCAGAGAAGCGCCGTGGGTATTCAGCCGTTCACCACCCACCTTCTTTTGCCAGCGGGGCTTTGTCTGAATGAATTCGGCTTCGGCACATGCATGTCCCAGACATCCTTGTCGTCCCATCTCGTCGTTGTTCCATGAAAGGAAATGTCCGCACTTCATCAGCGCCTAATTTCATAACACNTTTTCCGAACATCTGCTTCCTGCCGAGTTCCTAGCCGACACAATTCACTTTGCCCGAATACAATGCCTAGAGAAGCTACGTGGGTATTCAGCCGTTCACCACCCACCTTCTTTTGCCGGAGGGTCTTTGTCTGAATGAATTCGGCTTCGGCAATGCATGTCCCAGACATCCTTGTCGTCCCATCTCGTCGTTGTTCCATGAAAGGAAATGTCCGCACTTCATCAGCGCCTAATTTCATAACACAATGAATAGAGCGGCGATTTTGCTCGTCGAATACGATTAACCACCCAATCTTCGGCAGCAAGCGGGCGGTACGGAAGCTATAAAAGGGGTCTCAAGCGGAAAAAAACGCGCTTCCCTATCACTGTAAACAAATAAGTAAACAAAATGCTTTAGTAACTTCTTACAAAAGAGTTCCCACCACGACCAGATCACATCATAGTACTGCATAAGTAAGAACATCTCACAAAAGTCTTTTCAGTGGGAAATCTCGTCGCAATAAAACGAAATCCGCCTCATCAGATGGTATTCTGTCGGCCGGCGATAATGTATGGACATATAACTCTATGAAGAACTCATATACGGTAAGATTTTCCAGTCAGTACCGTATTCTACAGTAATACGCTACCTAGTTCCTATGTAGGATTGCTTAATGGCGAATTCATTAGCTCATACAGGCTTTTACAGTAATTTCAATTAAAAATATCTTTCCAGGGCTCTATGGGTATCCTGGTCTGCAACGGTACTTCACATAATCAAGCCTATCAACATACTCCTGGAACGATACGGTAAGTATGCTCCTACTACTGAGGTCATACCCCTAACAGCGGTTCAATGTTGACCCGGACAGCAGTCCATGGACTTCTGGTACCAATTACCATGGCTGGCGGGTGAGCCAGTGCTGCCACGTTTTACAATCTGCCGTAAATCTAGTTCTTCTCTGGTATACTGGTGTGAGAGGGATGCTCGTATGGTTAGGTCGTGGGGACATCGTCGTGGGGGGACAGGGCCACTGCTGGCCAATCCATCATGATTACGGTAACCGCGTACGTGCATCGGGTCATCGCCAGCTATATGATCGAACGGCTGTTCAGTTGGTGGTGACCAGATGTAATTACTTCCGCAACAGTGATTCGAAAAACATTCTACAATAAATTAGGGGTAATCGATTGTTTTTGGGAGTTTTCTGGGTTCTTTTCTTGATTCCTATCTCTTTTTGGACCGGAATGCGCCAGTTGAGTCAAGACAAGTGGATGAGCAGGAGAGGGATACATGGCGCATCCTGAGAGCTCGGAACCTGAGCATGGGATTGTCTAATACTCCCTTATTTCAGTTCCTTTGCAACGATTCCACATGAACCAGCGCCGTTACGTCCATGTACGTCGACGACCCTTCGACTACACCCGAAGGAACACTCGGCCGCGTATCACACTGTTGGAAGAAATACGTCATCCTCACCTACAGAGTTCTATGAGGAAATTCCACCACAGGGTAGGTTTGGGAACTTTGTTACTATAGGGTACAGAGTATCATCTGCCTTCTGGTGGTCTACACCAGTTGGATGTGGGATGATTACCCAATTGAACTGATTCTTTTTCAGGTTACATGCCCACATTTGCCATCAATAAAGCTCGAATGCCGGTCAGTTCCTCCTTCAGTCGAGACTCATGTCGTCGACCACCACCGAAATGTAGACCACCGCCAATACCTTCATCGGCAAATGTTTCCAACGAATACAGCCCCCATGGTAGCGATGAAGGCAGTATCGATCGGGAACTGTCCAGGTAAGGCAATTTAATCGAAAAGAATGTCACAAAATATCAGCACCAAGTAATCTGAGCTCATAAAATATCAGGAATCACCTAAGGTTGGATAGTTCACCACTGATGAATTGAATTCAGGATCCCCGCTGATTCTCCACCACTTCCACGATGGGAGGAATGCGAACATCGTAATGGTGAAGGACGTGAAAGCGGCTATGGTACGGCACCAAGTCGACAGTGGAGAAGTCCTCCAGCGCGGTATGTCTGTTGTTTATTTTCGTTTAAGAAATAAGAAAAACAATCCTGTTCATTGAACGTTACGGTAGAGCATCCAGAACAGTTCTTGCAGGCTTGTTAGTGTTGTTCCGAGGACAGGCCTCCCCGGGATTTGATCAGTGGACTATAAGGTGGAAGTGTCCCCACAGGTGCTCTACCGTTCCCTACTTTCTTTCCGAAGTGAGACCAGAAAAGATTTCTAAGGGTCCTCTGTCTATACAGTGGTGGGCTAGTGCAACTAATGTAACCCTCGGTGTTTTTTGTACCCCCAGAATTCTAGAACTTACCAGTTGACCTATGTTGTTGAAACTTTGGTTATCCAAGGGTCCTAATTTTCTCCTGTCCAACAGTTATGTCTCAAAAAACTTTTCTACTAGGGACTCCCTAGGATTTCCTCCAAAAAAGATTCTTTCGATTTCTGCTTTTACAGATCCCAAATATTCTTTTTTTCAGAACTGACGACACCCGATTACCGGCCTATGTTCTGTCACAAGCTCCAAATGTTCACTCGATGACATACGTGTAACCCTGTGAATTTGATTGACGTATTTCCCCTATTGACCTCAAACCATTGATAAATGCCTATGAACGGGTAATGAATTCTCGTATACCATTCTGATGTAGATGACTTTGTTGACTGATATGCCTAATCGAGCTTTTATTGTTGTGAACAATGACGTCAATCTGAGTGCATGTATGACGTGATTGTTCAGACATAGCTTTTGCTCGGCAAAATTATGTGATCCTTACGTTGGAAATTCATATGAAGGCTGTGGGTGGCGTTCAAAAGCTCTCTTCCGTGCGGACGGTTGCGGGTCTAGGCAAAGAGTGAAAAGGCTGTCTCCAGAG